CAGGTAGAATGTAAAGAAGTAGCTCATGTAAATCCTTAGTTTGAGCAAAAAGCAATGAATCTGCTCAGAAACAAATGAAATTCCAGGAATTATTGAATGGCATCTAAATTCAATTAAGATTGTTCATGCCTTTCAAGCACAGAAATCTGCGTAAAGCTGTAGCTGTAAGTGCAATTTTATGGAGAGAAAAGAAAACATTTTATTGTTGGGAAAGCAGACACACAACTCACTGTTCAAAAGTCACTGGATAATTACAGCCACAGTGAGATGACAGTTCTAAGTTTTGCTACAAAATATAATGGTTCTAACCAGGCCGTTGGGTTCCTTTCATAAATGGGAATTCAGGAACTCCAATTAACATATTCTTGATGTGATAGACTTTAGCAGGGTTTTTTTGGAATGAAGCCAGAGTCTAGAGTGTCAATAGGACTTTGTTTACTTAAATCACAGTAATCATAACAAAGCAGTCTACCACTCAAGCTGCTTACATCTGAAATATTATTTAGAAAAATTAGCAAAAGACACTGAAGTTATGTTTACAATCTCCTCCATTAGACTTCCACACTTAATATTGCAAACCATGGGGCAGCAAGCACAGAACTGCCAGTACTAATTAATATTGTTTGGTAAATATTTTCAATGCAAGAGCCTAAGCATAGATACACAAATGGATATATAAACACCTCAGCAAACAGCTTCATTTTCTGAGGTTCTGACATTGCTGACATTGGAGGGGAAGAAGCAAGCTCAGTGTAGCTGAAAGAAAATAACGAAGCTGCTTTTCAAGTTTAGATGCAAAGATAGAAGAGCGTAGAGTGTGAAGTGCAGGCCTTCAGAAACAAAACCAGAAAACGTGGACTGGCATACACCACTGTGGGTTTCCTTAGGGACACCAGCATTCTCCTCTCCCTCACTGCTATTATCTCCCATCAGCGCAGAGCATTTGTTCTACTTTTCCAGCCATCAAACAGGCTAGCCAGAGCACTGACAGTTGCCTCTACAGAGCTGCCAGACATCCAGCAAAAGCTGTAGCACAGCAGGA